TGTTGGTAATCATTACCAGTGTTGCTTCATCTGCAAACTCTGCGACAGAAACACAATCATGTTTCTCTGGATCGACAACAGACGCACAACTACTATAGATATTATCTACATTTCAATATCAACAAAGGGATTGGATTATAAACCAGGACCGAGACAGACACAGATGGATTCTAATGATAATGATAATAATAATAATAATAAATCATACTTATACAGCGCTTCACTAAACACATAAAAATAATCATTGAAGAACAAAGCTAAGGAAACGTTTTAAGAAGTGATTTCAAATTCTAATCTACGTCAGTCAAGTCTGGTTCAAACTAATAGAAAGTTTAACAAAATTGTGAAAATAAAAACATCTGGTTTTATCTCATTTACTGATATTTACTGATATTTACTGATATTTACTGGAGGGACTAAACAACCACTGTTCAGATCACGGACAGTAGAAGGAGGCTGCGAAAGAAGCCGATTTTTGCCAAACTAACCCTAAATTCCATGGACTTTGGAGCCAAGTCAGTGGATGGCAACGGCCTAGCAACCAAAGGGCCAATCAGGAGCAGCGCTGGTCTGTTCCCACACACACTACTTTCTGAGTTTAAAGAAGACAGGAGGAAGTGGTTCGCGGCTCTCATCTCTCCCACAGACATGACACAGACTCAGTTTCACTTACGACAATAGACTGTAAAAGGTATTTGTCAGAAAACACAAAAATAGATAAAAGTAACTACGGCTTAGTATTTAAAAAGTAGGACATTACGGTGGTTAACTGTGGTTATAGCAGAAGAGATATGTTTAAAGCTACAGCCAACACCTCCTGATGCTTAACTTGGAACTTCTACACAGATGTAGTTTTTCCATAACCTTTTGATAGAGCAACAAACCATTGAAACGCAGCTAAAGCGTGAACTAAGACTTACAATCCTGTTTTAAATTAAACTGACACATATTAAAGACAAATTAACCAAATCTAAACCACCAAATGTTCTCATCGATAATCGTCCACATTTAGCCCAAAGTGAAAGTGAGGTCTGAGCGTGTCTGACCACTTCCTGTTGTGTTTCCGCGGCGACACCTGATCCAGGACGGAGCTGATGTTGAGAAAAGTCGACCTTGAGCCGTTTCTTTTCAAACAGATCATTTTTCACTGTCACCGGAAAAACACAGATCGATAAAGACGGAGAACACGGTCCCGAGGCATTTTCAATTATTATTTTTATTATTATAGGTTTTATTACTATGCTATATATACACGTATATGACTACAGACATGGAGCGGCAGTAGCTCAGTTGGTAGAGCATTGGCCTTAAGCCCAGAAGGTCGTGGGTTCAATTCCCACCTCTGCACCTTCTCCACCGACTCCCACTGATGACTGCTGTCGTTGTGTCCTTGGGCAAGACACATGTATGTATGTGTATGTATGTGTATGTATGTGTATGTATGTGTATGTGTGTATGTGTGTATGTATGTGTGTGTATGTGTGTGTGTGTGTTATATATGTATGTATGTGTGTATGTGTGTGTGTTATGTATGTATGTATGTGTGTGTGTTATGTATGTGTGTATGTATGTATGTATGTATGTATGTATGTGTGTGTGTGTATGTGTGTGTGTTATGTATGAATGTGTGTGTGTTATGTGTGTGTGTGTTATGTGTGTATGTGTGTGTGTTATGTGGGTATGTGTGTGTGTTATGTATGTGTGTGTTATGTATGTATGTGTGTGTGTTATGTATGTATGTGTGTGTGTTATGTATGTGTGTTATGTATGTGTGTGTGTGTTATGTATGTATGTGTGTGTTATGTATGTATGTGTGTGTTATGTATGTATGTGTGTGTGTTATGTATGTATGTGTGTGTGTTATGTATGTATGTGTGTTATGTATGTATGTATGTGTGTGTTATGTATGTATGTATGTGTGTGTTATGTATGTGTGTGTGTTATGTATGTATGTGTGTGTGTTATGTATGTATGTGTGTGTGTTATGTATGTATGTGTGTTATGTATGTATGTATGTGTGTGTTATGTATGTATGTATGTGTGTGTTATGTATGTGTGTGTGTTATGTATGTATGTGTGTGTGTTATGTATGTATGCCAAAATTAAAAATATTGTGTCCAGGGCAGACTTGGAGATTCTTATCCATTCTTTTGTTTCCAGTAGGCTGGATTACTGCAATGGCCTGCTCACAGGTATCTCCAAACATGCAGTAAGACAGTTGCAGTATATTCAAAATGCTGCAGCCCGAGTCCTGACTAGAACCAGGAAGTACGACCACATTAGTCCGGTCCTCAGGTCTCTGCACTGGCTTCCCGTGGCCCAGAGAATAGACTTTAAAGCAGCTCTCCTGGTGTACAAGTCTCTCCATGGCCTTGCACCAAAGTACATCCATGATATGCTAGTCCCATATGAACCAGCCCGGACTCTGAGGAGCGCAGGGACGGGACTCCTGTTAGTGCCCAGAGTCAGGACTAGACAGGGGGAGGCTGCTTTTCAGATTTATGCAGCTGGAGTCTGGAACAGTCTTCCAGAGGATGTGAGACTGGCTGCCTCTCTGTCAATGTTCAAATCCATGTTAAAGACTTTTCTTTTTTCCCGTGCATACAACTAGAGAATTTTATCTTTTTAACACACCTTGTTATTTATTGTTGTAACTTTTTGTGTTTTTAACTATTTTATTGTTTTTAATTACTTGTGTGATTTTTATGTTTTTAAATTACTTATGTGATTTTAATGCTTTTTAATTACATATGTGTTTTTAATTGTATTTTAATGGTGATGATTTGTGCATTGTGTGGTGTGGACTGTGAGGCGCTTTGTGTTGCCCTGTGCAGGAAAAGCGCCCTATAAATAAAGATTGATTGATTGATTGATTGATGTGTGTTATGTATGTATGTGTGTGTTATGTATGTATGTATGTGTGTGTTATGTATGTGTGTGTGTTATGTATGTGTGTGTGTTATGTATGTATGTATGTGTGTGTTATGTATGTATGTGTGTGTTATGTATGTGTGTGTGTTATGTATGTATGTGTGTGTTATGTATGTATGTATGTGTGTGTTATGTATGTGTGTGTGTTATGTATGTGTGTGTGTGTTATGTATGTATGTATGTGTGTGTTATGTATGTATGTGTGTGTTATGAATGTGTGTGTGTTATGTATGTATGTGTGTGTGTGTTATGTATGTATGTATGTGTGTGTTATGTATGCATGTGTGTGTGTGTTATGTATGTATGTATGTGTGTGTTATGTATGCATGTGTGTGTGTGTGTGTGTGTTATGTATATATGTTTAAATGTCTAAATAGTTATTGTTGTTCTTCCTGATGTTTCCCAGTGTTGTGTCTGTGTCTGTAAAGAACCATGGATGGTGCTATACAAATAAATTAGCCTGGTCTTTTACAATCCTCTTGATCCACAATAAAGTAAAAAATCTGTGATAAAAGCAGTAATGAAAGGATCACATGAACTTCCCTGAGCCGTCTGGGATAAGATAAGATAGAGCAGAGAGGGAGGAAGATCAGAGTCTCATGATTGTTTTGGTGAAGAAATGTAAAAGTGCGGCTCTATATCTCTGTCAGTGTCGGACCAGGCCAGCTCCCATCATGCACTGCTCCGATTCTTATCTCTGTAATAGGCTTCGGTCGTGGAGGCTGCCACCCACTTCCTGACAGAGGAGCCAGACTGTTGGAGATTTAAGACTAGAGGAAGCTACAAACTATGGCCTGTTTATAATCCACAATCACAAAGTCCATTAGACAAAAGCATCAGCAGCAAAAAATATACAAATATAAATTATATTGTTCCATCTGTTCAGTTGTTGTCGTCTCTGGAACAATCCTTAATGAGATTACACTTGTCCTCTCTGTGTTTTACAGATTTACTTTATCTATTTGTTCACAATCAGAACACAATGTTTTTGGGGAACATTGAAACAGATTAGATAAGATATGAATCCAGAGAAGCCCATCCAATCAAATCTCACTGTTTGGTTCAACTACAGAGAATTATTAACACATTTGTTAATAAGTGAGTATGAATGAGTGAGAATGAGTTACTATGAGTGAGTATGAGTGAGTGAGTATGAATGAGTGAGTATGAGTGAGTGAGTATGAGTGAGTGAGTATGAATGAGTGAGTATGAGTGAGTGAGTATGAGTGAGTGAGTATGAATGAGTGAGTGAGTATGAGTGAGTGAGTATGAATGAGTGAGTGAGTATGAATGAGTGAGTGAGTATGAATGAGTGAGTGAGTATGAATGAGTATGAATGAGTGAGTTAGTATGAGTGAGTGAGTATGAATGAGTGAGTATGAGTGAGTGAGTATGAGTGAGTATGAATGAGTGAGTGAGTATGAGTGAGTGAGTATGAATGAGTGAGTGAGTATGAATGAGTGAGTATGAATGAGTGAGTATGAATGAGTGAGTATGAGTGAGTGAGTATGAATGAGTGAGTATGAGTGAGTGAGTATGAATGAGTGAGTATGAGTGAGTGAGTATGAGTGAGTGAGTATGAATAAGTGAGTTAGTATGAGTGAGTGAGTATGAATGAGTGAGTATGAGTGAGTGAGTATGAGTGAGTATGAATGAGTGAGTGAGTATGAATGAGTGAGTGAGTATGAATGAGTGAGTATGAATGAGTGAGTGAGTATGAATGAGTGAGTATGAATGAGTGAGTATGAGTGAGTGAGTATGAATGAGTGAGTGAGTATGAATGAGTGAGTATGAATGAGTGAGTATGAATGAGTGAGTATGAGTGAGTGAGTATGAATGAGTGAGTGAGTATGAGTGAGTATGAGTATGAATGTGAGTGAGTATGAATGAGTGAGTATGAATGAGTGAGTATGAGTGAGTGAGTATGAATGAGTGAGTATGAGTGAGTGAGTATGAATGAGTGAGTATGAATGAGTGAGTGAGTATGAATGAGTGAGTATGAGTGAGTGAGTATGAATGAGTGAGTATGAATGAGTATGAATGAGTGAGTGAGTATGAGTGAGTCGTACCTGCCACGTTGACCTTCTCGGGGTTGGTAGCGCTGGGCGTGGCGGTGCTGGTGCCGTTGGTCAGATTTCCACCGGTTCCATTGTAAATGTTTTCCACTTTGGATTCGAGTTTTCCCAATCTCTGCATGATGTTGTCCAGGAGCACGGCCAGGGTCTTCTTCAGGTCTGGGACAGAGAGAGTATACATGAGGAGACCGGACCATGGACCAGAGCGAGAACACGGACTAGAGTAAGAGTCCATCTTAAACTGGCCATGGACCAGAGCGAGAGTCCGCCTTAAACCGGACTATGGACCAGGCCTAGTCTCCCGGTCTCTTCTGCAGCAGCTGTATTCTACTGTATTCAGTTGTTTCTCTGGGTTTTACAGAACAATCAATTCCAATCTCAAGTTTCTAATGAAGCGTCTTATCGAACCAAACACAACTCTGTTAATGCGCTGAATAACTTATTGACGGGTCTTCAGCCCGAGCATGTGCAGCGTGGTTTCAGATATACTGCTCCATAATATATCACAGTACTATCAATACTCACATTTCCTCCAATTCTCAGTCTCTAATACTAGTCTCCATGTGTGTGATTCCACAGAGAGAGGCCGACCGTGTATCTATATATATATATATATATATATATATATATATGTATATATATATAGTCGGCCTATCTCTATATAGGCCGGTATATATTATACCCCCCGTAGGCCATCATGCTGCCCACGTGTGTATGTGTGTATAAATGTATATATATGTATATATGTATATATATGTAGTAGCTCCTCACCGTAGGCCGTCATGCTGCCCACGTAGGGCCCGTCCATCACGCTCTGGTTCTCTTCGGCCAGGGCTTTGATGTAGCGTTTGCTGAGGTCCAGGATCTGCTGCTGCAGCTCGGCGCTGCTCTCGTGGGTCACCCTCTGTTGGATGGTGAAGTGCAGCAGCATCATGCCCCAGATGAAGCCGAAGATCACCAGGAAGAAGCCCAGTTTCTGGGACGACAGCTTCCACAGGAACGGGGCGGCCATGTTTGTGTCCGCACAGAGTTCAGACAGGACCAACGGTCTGGGCTTTTCTCCGGGAACGCATTGTTGAGACACGCCCGACCAACCTGAAAAACAACATTTACATCTGAGTGCGATGTTTAAGTCCAGTTATAGTCTGCAGTCAGTCTCAGAAGTCACTTATACACCACACACTCTCAAACAACACTGTAATGTCTGATCTTTACTGTGTGTTATTGTATCAGGAGAAGCTTTTTAATAATTATTTCAGACCAGGAAATAAAAGTCTCCATGAGCAGCAGCAGCTGCAGGATGTAAATAGATCATAGTAACAGTGAGTTCAGCCTGAACAATGACATCGTCTCCATCATCTTTAAGATGGTTCAGTCTTCAGCAGATCCAGCAGATGGTCAGACTCTAAATGGACATAATTCAATGGAAAATACATCAAAGAACATGTCTCATGTTTTTATATCATTAAAAAGGCTGCCCAAAGAGCCAATCAAACTTAAGATAGAGTGAATGTATACAACATGTACAGAAGACTTCACTTCAGTCTATCGTCCAATCACAGAAGATTTAGGGCCCTAATCTGTCATCATTAAAGGGCCCTAATCTGTCATCATTAAAGGGCCCTAATCTGTCATCATTAAAGGGCCCTAATCTGTCATCATTAAAGGGCCCTAATCTATCATCATTAAAGGGCCCTAATCTGTCATCATTAAAGGGCCCTAATCTGTCATCATTAAAGGGCCCTAATCTGTCATCATTAAAGGGCCCTAATGTGTCATCATTAAAGGGCCCTAATCTGTCATCATTAAAGGGCCCTAATCTGTCATAATAATAAATTACTCTTTTCCAATACTTCCTTAACTGATAACAGTAGTTCAGAGATATTTGAATTGAATTTCTAAATTACTTTTACGGCATCTAAATCTTGTTATTGTGTTGAGGTCCCGCCCTGCACATGTTGTGTTGTGAGGCAGCGAAGAACAAACAGCTAAGACTCAGAATAAACAAGGATAAAAACAAGGATAAATGGAGGCCTAACCAAAGAGAAAGGACTGAGTGCTTTCTGAGGAGTGCTTTAGCTTTAGCTCCAGGTTGAAAACAGAGACTTAAGAGCGACCACAGAGTTCTGGATATAGCCTTCTTCATTAAACATTGATCAGGTCTGAAAAAGTATCCATTTTGTCCTGGATAAAACAGCTTTGACTTCTCACATTCAGGTGATGCAGATTTAGCAAACTGCTCTGGCTCCTGCTGTAGAAATAGACAAAAAATAAAAAAATATATGAAAAATAGAGGGCGGGAAGATGATGGAGCAGAGGAGCTGAGGACAAAGGTACAGGAAGTAATAGTATTTTATCTTTGTCTAAGGTTAATACAACTTTACAAATGTCTTGAATATTGGACAGAACAAAAGTCTACATTTTCTCTGCAATATTTAGATTTTGTAAAGAGACGTTGCTGTGTTTTGCAGCTTAAAAGTTTGAGTTTATTTACAGTTTTCACATTTTCTGAGGCGGTTTCTTGTCCGTCGTCATAGCTACAGGCCTAAACATAACCGCTGTTCTCTGGTTTACGACGCTGGAGCTAGTTTTAGTCCAAAAAGAGTCAAAGCAGAGGCCAGAGCTCGGAGAGACGAGTCAGAGAAGTCTGTGGTAAAGCTCCCAAAAACAGAGACGCCGTTCTGCTCGTGTGTCGTTGCCGTGGCGACCGCTGTGACTCTAACCGTGTGTTGCTGCCATGGCGATTGGCGACCGGTGTGACTGACCGTGTGTCGCTGCCATGGCGACCGCTGTGACTCGGACCGTGTGTCGTTGCCATGACGACCGCTGTGACTCGGACCGTGTGTCGTTGCCATGACGACCGCTGTGACTCGGACCGTGTGTCGCTGCCATGGCAACCGCTGTGACTCAGACCGTGTGTCGTTGCTATGGCGACCGCTGTAACTCTGCTCGTGTGTCGCTGCCATGGCGACCGTTGTGACTCTGCTCGTGTGTCGCTGCCATGGCGACCGCTGTGACTCTGCTCGTGTGTCGCTGCCATGGCGACCGCTGTGACTCTGCTCGTGTGTCGTTGCCATGGCGACCGCTGTGACTCTGCTCGTGTGTCGTTGCCATGGCGACCGCTGTGACTCTGCTCATGTGTCGCTGCCATGGCGACCGCTGTGACTCTGCTCGTGTGTCGCTGCCATGGCGACCGCTGTGACTCTGCTCGTGTGTCGCTGCCATGGCGACCGCTGTGACTCTGCTCGTGTGTCGCTGCCATGGCGACCGCTGTGACTCTGCTCGTGTGTCGCTGCTATGGCGACCACTGACTCTGCTCCTGTGTCGCTGCCATGGCGACCTCTGACTCTGCTCCTGTGTTGCTGCCATGGCGACCTCTGACTCTGCTCCTGTGTCGCTGCCATGGCGACTACTGACTCTGCTCCTGTGTCGCTGCCATGGCGACCTCTGACTCTGCTCCTGTGTCGCTGCCATGGCGACCTCTGACTCTGCTCCTGTGTCGCTGCTATGGCGACCACTGACTCTGCTCCTGTGTCGCTGCCATGGCGACCTCTGACTCTGCTCCTGTGTCGCTGCCATGGCGACCTCTGACTCTGCTCCTGTGTCGCTGCCATGGCGACCTCTGACTCTGCTCCTGTGTCGCTGCCATGGCGACCTCTGACTCTGCTCCTGTGTCGCTGCCATGGCGACCTCTGACTCTGCTCCTGTGTCGCTGCCATGGCGACCTCTGACTCTGCTCCTGTGTCGCTGCCATGGCGACCTCTGACTCTGCTCCTGTGTCGCTGCCATGGCGACCTCTGACTCTGCTCCTGTGTCGCTGCCATGGCGACCTCTGACTCAGCTCCTGTGTCGTTGCCGTGGCGACTGCTGTGACTCTGCATCTTAATGGACTCCTTCACACGCGGCCTCTTAATAATGCAACACGCCTCCGGAGACGCTGGCGCTGCTCTGACGGACGTCTACACCACAAATGTGTAACATCTACAGAGGCCAAAGAAGTATTCAGTCGACACCAACTGTGCAACTTCTCCCACTTAATATTCATCATAGTTAAACCTCAACTATTGGAGACACGAGGAGAAGGAAGATCCAGACAATCACAATGCAATGATATAATATATAGTGAGACTGTACAAAGCTGCTATTGCTAGTATATACTTGTAAATATTCTTTTATGAATGAAATACATATAAAGTTTTGGACATGACCTTTAATATTGAGTCTGATATGTCCTTAATATAACAAACAAACCTGGACCATTAATCTATCTCTACAATGTTCTGTAGAACCAAGCAAGTCCAAAATCAGCAAAGCATCAGGAAGTCGCACACTGTCTCACCACAACATTACGTATGTGTGTGCGTCTCTGTGTGTGTGTGTGTCTCTGTATGAGTGCGTGTGTGTGTGTATCTGTATGTGTGTGTGCGTCAGAGTAAAAGAGAACTTTACATGTTGCAGAAACAGTAACGACTCTCTCACTGTGTAACCACAACATTACGTATGTGTGTGTGTGTGTGTATGTGTGTGTGTGTGTGTACTGTATGTCTGTGTATGAGTGTGTCAGAGCAAAAGGGAACTGTACATGTTTGTTGCTTCATCACTGAACTCAGGATTTTACAAAGACTTTGACGAGAAAAATGTTCATAAAAACGACACATAATAAATAATAAATTATATTCTCACATAATAAACAATAAACAACATCACAATAATAGATAAATCTACTATTTCTGGTTAAGATCAAACCGTTGTAAAACTAGAGATTGTCAGACTTCAGTGACGACTCCAGACTTCTGTGTTTACTGTAGATTTTGTTATAGTTAAATGAGATGCAAAAGAAGCCACTTGGAAATTTGAAAAAAAGAAACCAAAGAAGTAACTCCAGAGGCTCAAAGGCTCCGTCCGTCTCTCATTTACATGTGTGTAATAAACAGTCATGGGTTTCATAGTCAAATAGGCATAGTGTTGTCCAGATGAACCGGTTTTACCTTATTTGCGATTATAAAAGCAGGAGGTTAACCATAAGGACTGTAGATGGCACGGTGCAACGTTAAGTGCTGCCCGCGGCGCACAGAGCAAACTCACTGCTAACTTGAAGCTCCCCCAGAGTTGTATCCACCACAACTTAAGTCGTGCGACATCACTTTGGGAATCCAACATATGACCAAAGTGTTGTTGCCAATACTTTAAACATGAAACAACATCTTCCTGCTTTTCTGTTTGTCACAGGAAACAACTGCATCATTGTCAATAAAGTTCCAAATGTTCAGAAATAAGTTCAGAAACTGCCCCAAGGTGCACATTACTGCAAAGGATTCTGCAAATGTGAAAACACTGCACGTGCGCTGGAGACGCTCTTAAAGGGACAGTAGCACGTATCCTAAAGCCTTCACACGAGACGATTTTAAAAATGTCGCCCGATTCTCCAAACCTGACCCCACACACGGAGATAAACATTAAAAAAGCATTCCCAGTTCAGACGCAAATCTCACAAAATACTACTACTACTACTGCTACTACTACTACTACTACTGCTACTACTACTACTACTACTTCTACTACCACTGCTAGTACTGCGGCTACTACTACTACTACAACTACTACTACTGCTACGGCTGCTACTACTACTACTACTACAACTACTACTACTGCTACGGCTGCTACTACTACTACTACTACTACCACTGCTAGTACTGGGGCTACTACTGCTACAACTACTACTACTGCTACTACTGCCACTACAAAACAATTCAGCTATATACATTCCTGAATGTATTTTTTGAATGAACATTTTTATACTTAAATACAAATAAAAGCATCTACTGTATATAGTCAGACACATTATAATAATGTCAGAGATGCACGACATGTGAGCTCAGCAGTGTTTATCTAATGTAGGACTTATTGAATCTGAAGTGGTGTGTGATTGACATTTATCGTCTGCTTTTCCTTGTCTTTCCGTGAACCATCACAGCCTGTTTGGGATCAGTTCCTGGTCCCAGCACCAGCAGCTGTTCTGACAGAGTATTTTAAACATGCTGCTCAGAGACATGTGCCTCATTCTGTTCGATCTGGAAGGACTCGAAAATCAGCCGTGGCACAATGGCCTCCGACCTGTCTTCTTTTGATATGAATGCAATAAACTGTATACAATTAAAAAACAGTTATCATCCTTAAATGGTTTTCATTTGATATTGTATATTCTTAATTAATTGATTTAATTGATGACAGATTAGGGCCCCTTAATGATGACAGATTAGGGCCCTTTCATGATGACAGATTAGGGCCCTTTCATGATGACAGATTAGGGCCCTTTCATGATGACAGATTAGGGCCCTTTCATGATGACAGATTAGGGCCCTTTCATGATGACAGATTAGGGCCCTTTCATGATGACAGATTAGGGCCCTTTCATGATGACAGATTAGGGCCCTTTAATGATGACAGATGACGTGACACACACATGATATGGTCTGAGTGACAGAAATGTGAATTAAAAGTGTTGCTTCTGTTACTTTCAGTCAAACTGTGACATTCGAGCCGAGACTGGAGACTTGGAAATGTCATTACGTTTTACAGCTAAAGTTACTTTCCTGCTTTCGCCAAAAAAAAAAAAAAAAATCTCTCGAAGTATGCCACCAAACGCACTAACTCCCAGTGGGATAGAGAGATTAGCTGTGTGGAAATGCCAACAGGAGCTGGACTCTTTAAAACTCTGCTAAACCTCTGAGGCTGGCATTAAATAACGGCTGCAATCACATCACATTAAGGCATCGCCGGCTGCGGAAGGCTGCGGAAGGCTGCGGAAGGCTGCCATGTTTGGCTTAGCGATCGGTAATCAAATCCAGCACGGTGTGTGTGGTTTGGGGAGAAAACAAGAGCCCTTTAACAGAAAAAGGCCAAATGTTCCACTCTGCTGCAAACGTCCACAGGCTAACTCCACAGACTAACCCCACAGGCTAACCCCACAGGCTAACCCCACAGGCTAACCCCACAGGCTAACCCCACAGGCTAACCCCACAGGCTAACCCCACAGACTAACCCCACAGACTAACCCCACAGGCTAACCCCACAGGCTAACCCCACAGACTAACCCCACAGGCTAACTCCACAGACTAACCCCACAGGCTAACCCCACAGGCTAACCCCACAGGCTAACCCCACAGGCTAACCCCACAGGCTAACTCCACAGGCTAACTCCACAGACTAACCCCACAGGCTAACCCCACAGGCTAACCCCACAGGCTAACTCCACAGACTAACCCCACAGGCTAACCCCACAGGCTAACCCCACAGGCTAACTCCACAGACTAACCCCACAGGCTAACCCCACAGGCTAACCCCACAGGCTAACTCCACAGACTAACCCCACAGACTAACCCCACAGGCTAACTCCACAGACTAACCCCACAGGCTAACCCCACAGGCTAACCCCAGGCTAACCCCACAGGCTAACCCCACAGGCTAACCCCACAGGCTAACCCCACAGGCTAACCCCACAGGCTAACCCCACAGGCTAAGGCAAGGCAAGTTTATTTATATAGCACAATTCATACACAAGGCAACTCAAAGTGCTGAACAAAACAAGAAAGCATTAAAATCATAAATTATCACAGAACATTAAAAAAAAAGATAAAAATATAAAATCCCTCAGTTGTAGCACAGCTAAACAGAACTGTCTTTAACCTGGTTTTAAACATTGTCAGAGAGGAGGCCTGTCTCACATCTTCAGGAAGATTGTTCCAGATTTTAGCAGCATGAATCTGAAAAGCAGCCTCCCCATGTTTAGTTCTGACTCTGGACACTAACAGGAGTCCAGTCCCTGTGCTCCTTAGAGTCCCAGCAGGAGTCCAGTCCCTGTGCTCCTCAGAGTCCCAGCAGGAGTCCAGTCCCTGTGCTCCTCAGAGTCCCAGCAGGAGTCCAGTCCCTGTGCTCCTCAGAGTCCCAGCAGGAGGCCAGTCCCTGTGCTCCTCAGAGTCCCAGCAGGAGTCCAGTCCCTGTGCTCCTCAGAGTCCCAGCAGGAGGCCAGTCCCTGTGCTCCTCAGAGTCCCAGCAGGAGTCCAGTCCCTGTGCTCCTCAGAGTCCGGGCTGGTTCATATGGGACTAACATGTCACTAATATATTTTGGTGCGAGGCCATGGAGAGACTTGTAACAAGCAGAGCTGTTTTAAAGTCTATTCTCTGAGCCACAGGAAGCCAGTGCAGAGACCTGAGGACCGGACTAATGTGGTCGTACTTCCTGGTTCTAGTCAGGACTAATATGGTCGTACCGTACCGTTTCCTGGTTCTAGTCAGGACTAATGTGGTCGTACTTCCTGGTTCTAGTCAGGACTAATGTGGTCGTACTTCCTGGTTCTAGTCAGGACTAATGTGGTCGTACTTCCTGGTTCTAGTCAGGACTAATGTGGTCGTACTTCCTGGTTCTAGTCAGGACTAATGTGTATCGTACTTCCTGGTTCTAGTCAGGACTAATGTGGTCGTACTTCCTGGTTCTAGTCAGGACTAATGTGGTCGTACTTCCTGGTTCTAGTCAGGACTAATGTGGTCGTACTTCCTGGTTCTAGTCAGGACTAATGTGGTCGTACTTCCTGGTTCTAGTCAGGACTAATGTGGTCGTACTTCCTGGTTCTAGTCAGGACTCGAGCTGCTGCATTTTGAATGTACTGCAGCTGTTTTACAGCCTGTTGGACAGACCTGTGAGCAGGCCATTGCAGTAGTCTAACCTACTGGAGACAAATGCATGGATAAGAATCTCCAGGTCTGCTTTAGACACTATGTTTTTGATCCTGGCAATGTTTTTTAGATGGTAAAAAGCTGCTGATGTTACTGATTTGATGTGGCTATTAAAATTTAAGTCTGAGTCCCAGTATTACCCCTAGAT